AACGTTTCTTTGGAAAAAATTGAATTTTATTATGTTTACACATACAGACATTTTGAGTGTTTTCAATCCAGGAATATTCTAATAAACTAAATAAACATTACTGCAATCACTTTATTGACATTCTAAACTTTATAGAAAACAGAAGGGATAAACTTATATATATTTTATATACAGTGTAAAAAATGGAACATACTCACTTCAGAAAAATAGTGCATTGATCTCCAAAGTTCATTTGAAAAATAAATGTGTAAGATGTAGTAAGAGATTTTAAAATAATAAGGGATATAAATTGAGGATACCTGGGTAATTAGATATTTCGTAAACAATGAACGCAAACTTCAAGGTTTCATCATATACCAGAAGTTGTTTCGTGCAAAGCAACATGTTTGCCCAATGTATCATAGCATTATGAAATAAAATTGGCCGCACTCTGCTTTTGGTCGTTACTGAATATCAATGCAGAAAGACCTATTCTGCCCTTTTTCGTTAGCAAATTTTAACTATTTGGGTAAGGAAATATGACGGATTTTGTTTAAATATTATCTAATTTTGCAATCATCAATTTAGATAAAATATTTGAATATGACGTCGTTGCATAAAAATACCTTCAAACGGGGGATGGAAATATTGCTTTTAAAGTTCACGAAACCGACACTTGCGTGTTTCACAGTTGACATAATACTTTGTTCAACCACCAATATCGTTCAGCGTTCCCCATTCCCTGATCATCATGCGTTGGATCAGAACGAACTAGAATGTAGACGTTCGTATGATTTTCGAATCTACGGCCAATTGTTGGCTCTCCAACACGCCATTTTGTGAATCCGTCAGTTGGAAACATTTGTTCTGTCTGAAAAATAATATTAGAACAATGCACGTTAATTTCATTGTCCAATCATAGTTCATTTGCATATTATCGTATCCCAATAATTAATATTTGGAATAGGCCTGAAATAAAATAAAAAACAGTGAAACACAGTTGTGAGGGGATTGATTAAAATTATAGGAGCAGATAAAATAACATACTGTAAATGTCAATTTGATGGTAAGATATGGGATCAGAATCCATTACGAAAAATGATTCTAGTGAGAGACACATAGAATTATTAACAACGAGTGGGAAGGATAAATCCGAAGTTTTGTGAAAGATTCATGCTACCTTCTCAAAATGAAAATTTAGCTATGACATATAATCTCTTGGGTCTTACCAAAGGATTTATTTTCAAGTCAATCCATACTGTAAAGAATCCACCTTTTTTTGGGCGCATCATCGACATCACAGAATCATATTCTTGTTCGTTTTTTATTTGTGCCATTGTTGACCAGTACTTCGCACACACATTGTAGGCCACATCGTAAGTCAATCCTGGTGCAGAGCCGTCCACAATAACTTGCCATCGACGGTGATATATTTCTCTGTACAGAAATGATGCGATAGTTATTCGTTTACTTATAAATAGTTTTACAAAACACAAAATAACGACTGAAATTCCAGTGTCTTAATGTAGTACAAACTAGATAAAACAGGCCATAGAAAAATACTACCTGCTTCCCCAACACGACATCTTTTATCAACAACCCTTGTGCGGATTTCAACTCGTTTGTTGCTATTTGAAGTTGTTCTAGAGCTGTTTTGTTGACTTTCTTCAAATCACCCTCGGATATGCCGTGTACTTTCAGTCTTATGTCAGACATATTCGCTTGTACTTCATCGAAACGTAACTCCAACTGATTGATTTCTTTTCTCTGCTCGTCAATATATTGAACAAGGTTCGCTAGAGTTTTGTTGCCGACTCCAACATTTCCGATCCGTTGCGTTTCTTGAGTTTTGACTGAAAAGATATTTTGTTAGTTTAAGTGGACTTGACTCGTTGGTTATATTTTTAAACAGTCGTTTTGAATAGCGTATATTGTGGTTCAATATTTATCTGTTTCATTAAGTCACAAAAAGAATTTAATGGCTGATTTATTGTGAATGAAGTGAAATTATGAATGATTGCTCCTTTTCAAGACCTTCGTTATCTTCAGGAATGAATATGAACTGCTTGGCCAAACCAGTTTTTTTTCAACGTTCAAACCCAAATACATGCCCGCCCCGGGGATACTAAAAAAGGATTTCGTGAGGAGGTTGAAACGACAAAGAATTTAAACCAACAATCATGTATAAATAAGTCAAAGCTTTAAAAGTACGAAGCATCAACTCAACGATTAGTGAGCAACGTTGTATGGATACTTAACGTACCCAGCATGTATACAGTAGCCAATCCCATTCCAAGTAATATTATTGCAAACGTTATTGTGATCAACATGAAGCAATTTTCTGACGAACTACATCTCCTACGAAAATATAAAACAACATGAGAGTAATGGTCAAATATATGCACAAAGCGAAATGTCAAATTTGTCCCATGAATGTAATATAAAGAGTCTGTGCGAAATATCGGAATAAAAACTATGTGTCATTATATGGCCCTCTTCAAGTTTCAAACACGGAAAGTTTAAAATTAATTTGTATTAGTTGCGATGAAAAATTATCCATACAACTCTAAAAATCTTAACAAAATCTGTTTCTCTCACAGAACAAAACATTGAATTAATCATTGACTATAGAACTTAACCTACTGGATAGCTTGGAGATTTGATTCTCCATTTTTGTCACAGCGTTCTTAGTTTTTCTGTGTTCTCGTCTAGATTTCCCACAGCAGCGTCACTTTCGTTTGTCTGGGCAAAATGCAGATGGAGCTCTTCATTACTTTTAGTTTGCATTCCACCTGAATAAACATACCACTCTTGAGTTAGTAAGTTATAAAAGTCAAAGTACGGTGTAAATTTCACGCACTCTGAATACCGAACTATGAACGTACGCAAAGAATAAAACACGAACTGAAGACCATAAGGTTTACCAATATCAGTCAATGAGGATTCGGGAATAATCCAACACAAAGTGTACATGTGGACCGGATAAGTAATTTTTTTTTCTTGTTTTCTTTTTATTTAAGATAGTTTTTGGCCAATCCATTTGCTGTTTTATTTTTTGTCAGTGCGAAGCATTTTTGTACTTTCGTTTTTTTGTATGAAAAGGGTATGCGCTGAAATAAAATACTGTATTTTTTAATACTGTTTATTGAATTTTGTTTCCATGTGTAACCAAAATGATAGATTCGTCGACAAATAAACAGAGCATCGAATTACATGTTCTGTTTGTAAGATTTGATTTTGAACATATGCAGGCTTGTTTCTGATTTGTGATAATCAAGTCATAGTAAAAATTTCCAGTTCACACAATACAAAAGTTTTGGTGGGAAAATGTAAGCGGGCAATTGACTGGTCTCCATTTTTCGAGTTGGAATAATTTTAGATATGCTGTTCCTGGTGATAAATTTCTAAACTTCATTTAAAACAGGGTCTGCCGGACTCGTTTGAAATCATATGGAAATATATTTGCTGGTAATTTATTTTTGTGAAATTTAACTAATTGAAACTGGCAATAATTATGTGATGCGCATATCAGTATGCAATATTTGACGATTTGAAAGCGAGATTTAGGAAAAGGGGATTCGAAATTTTATCTACACGTACATCCAAAACAAGCAATTTTCACAGGTTTCTCATTTACAAAAATGAATGGATCCGTGCGCACATGACATGTGAATTTTTGTGTGACATGTAAGTATTTGTTCTTCGACGTCATACTAGAATATTATGAAACAAGGGGCCATGATCAAATATATGGCACGAAGTGTTACGGGTATGCAA